TATAAATATATTTCTGTAACAGTTAATACTTTATATTTTTAGGGATTTAAAGTTTTCCATTTTACTAATTGTTGCCAGCAAATTTTTTTTTTTTTCTCTCAGTACCAGGAATCAAACTCAGAACCTTGTACTTGCCAGGCAGGCACTTATGCTGCTGAGCTACATCCCCAGCCTGTGTTTTTGCTTTGTTTTTCTTTTCATGTTTTGATTTTGCTTTTCCAGTACTTGCTACCTCATAACGTTTGAATGATTTGAAAAGATTAGAAATAGCTGCATCACTGGTTTCTAGCTTTTGTTTTGTTTCCTAAAGTATTTGGGGATGGGAGATACAACTCAGTAGCAAAGTGCCTGCCTGGCAAGCACAGGCCCTGAGTTTGAGTCCTGATAGCAGAAATAAAGAGAATATTTGGACTGACAGGAAACTTGGGTATTCATGGAAAATAACTCTGACACTACTGTCATCAAATCCCTACTTTCTTTGTGTTTCTAAATATGTGGCTAATTTGATTTAGATTTATGTTTCAGGAAACTATCACATACTTATCTTTTCTAAATGCAAATAGAACCCTTTTACCAGTAACCTTTTTAATTGCTAAAGACTTGATAGTTACATATAACCAATGAAGTTTCTGTTGTGTTACTCTTGTTTATTTTAAAAATTCCCAAAACATAAATAATTCACATATACTTTTAATGAATAAGGCAAAAAAATACCCTTTAAAACTAAAGTATAAAAACTCAGCTAAGAGGTCTAAATTCAGCCAAATCTTGATCTTTTATTTAAAGGTCCTACTCTGTTTTGCTAATTCATTTATTTTAAGGGATATCACAAATTATATTAATACAAGCATTCATTCTTAAGCATGTTTCTGATGGAAGAATATAGGATATTAACACTAAATCATTTGGACACTGTTGACCTAGAAAAATTCAACTAACCTGACCTGTCTTAACAGTTGCCTCAGCAACTAACCATCTTCCATGATTATCAAAGAGATGTTTGAAGTACAGTGGAGGAAATGGCATCTTGAAGTAACAAAAAGGACTGGAAAAAGAAACTATACAGCCAATGTTCTGAACCCAGTTTTGTAACTAACCCAAAGCGAATCACTTGTCTGAAATTTTACCTTTTTATACAAGATTGTTGTTAAGATTAAAATGGATTGATTAAGCACCTAATTTTCAGTTTTCTCCATGTATACAGGAAGAGTAATTTGGATGCAGAATATTCCTTTCAGGTCTAACATTCAGATTTTTATTTATATGTTGACATTTTGAAAAGTACAAGTCATAATATATATGTATAAAGTTGAGCAATTAGGCAGCAAATTGTGACCAACAGCATGATATTGTAGACTCCTTACAATGGAATGGAAGATGAATGTGACTATCAGTAATTACATTCTCTCCCAACTTCTCTCCAATTCAGTTTGGACTCTGCTTATCACACTATACATTATTTTCACATGTTTGTAATCAGACATAGGTAAAAATTTTACATTTTTTTTCTATATTTAGGACAGGGTCTACAGGGTCTCACTGCATAGATTGGACTCATGATTCTCCTGTTTTCAGCCTCCCAAGAGCTGTGATTACAGGCATGTGCCACCAAACCCAGTCTCAATCACCATGTCAGCGCATCCCAGGGGCAGGGCCAGCAGGGCATGTATGGGATTGAACCCTGGCCACTGTGCTCTGCCTAAGCAGGCACTTTAGTCCACTGAGCGGTCAGGCCAGCCCCAGGATGCTCTTTTCAATATTTAATTATATCAATTCTTAATAACATAGCTTATTACATGTCAAGCACACTGCTCTGACCTAATAGCCAATCATTTTTCACATGTTGCATTTAATGTTTTGGGTGAATTTCAAAAAGCATTCCAGAAATTGTCCCTCTCACCGCTAACCTTGGACTTGTTTTAGCTTTTATTTATTTGAAATTTACTCTATTAAAATTGATTTAATTGCTTATAGGCACAGCTTAGCTTTAAATTGAGTTTCAAAAGAGTGATGAAAGACAGGTCCAACAAATGCCCAAACTTAGGTGTGTTGTAAAAGAAATGAAATACTTGGAATGAAAGCACTTGTCTTCAGTTACTTAAAAAGTATGATCATTAATTAGGTATATAAACTTCTGACATTTAATAGTGGTGTTTTTAAGGAATTTGGTGTTTGTACAGTATTTATTTTAAAATGACCAATAAAATGAGAGTACTTTCTAAGATAATTTTCAAATGCAAACTGTTACAGTATAAAGGATGTAAAGTTAAAAACTTCTGTCCCTACCATTATTCTTTACAAGTTCAGAGATAGATGCTGTTAAGACTGGGTATACTGTTTGAAAACCTTCTTAGGCCATATATATATATATATATATATATATATGTATATGCTTTTCTTTTTCCTATCCAATAAGTTTCTTTTTATAGTCTTACACCTTTTTTCTATAACACATATTCTTTATATGGCTTTATAATGTACCACTGTATGGCTGCATCATAATTTAGCTAGTCCCTTTGGAGTATTCTGCTCTTAATGGTGAAGATTCTTATATGTACATCTTGACATTCTTCTGATTACAGGTAATTGTAGCACTAGTATTGTTGACTCAGTATACTTAGTGGATTTGTGTAATCTTTTGAGTTAAGTTGAACACATTTGTTAGATTTTGTTTTCGCTAAACTACCTGTTGATAACCTTTACATACTTTACTGTTTATTCATTTTCTTCTGTTGGTTTACTCAAATTGGTAAAATCTGGTAAATTATGAAATATTTCTCTATTAATATAAATATTTTCTCAACTTATCCCTTGATTCTTGTGCTATTTAACTGGTTTATTGTTTTTAACCATTCAATAATGTTAAATTTCTGTGTACTGTAATTTGTTCTATCTTAGGTTTTATGAATTTTGTTTTGGCCTTCCCTACTCCAAGATTATGATGTTACTTTTTCTAGTACTTTTAGAGTCACTTTATGTGCTCAGGTCATTGATCCATTTGGAATTAATTTGGTGTAAAGAGAGAACGAGGATCCAACTGTAGCCAATGAGTTTCCTGAAACCATTCATATGATAACATGTTTTTATCCAGCAACTTGAACTGCTTTTTGATACTCAAATTTCTATATTGCGATAGATAAGATTTTGTGAAGTTGCACACATATGAGGTGTATTCTTTCATTGATATGTCATAGAAACTTCTACCAGCATCAACTCTTTCACTACTGTAACTTTATTAAGTGCATTGTCTGCTGGGGGGGCTTCACATTCTGCTTTTATAACTTGCTGGATGTTACCTAATTTTTCTTGCACATAAAGTTTAGTGTAATCTTAGTCATTTATATTCCCCTTCTCTACCCTATCCTCCAAAAATCACAATCTTGGAATATTTGGTGAAACTGGAGAAGAAGGAGAATGATGGTTGGTTGAATTCTGAATACCATCTGTATTCTAATGAATTTTTATATCAAGAATGAGATACGGACTTTCATTGTCAAAACTGTATTCCTCTAATAAAGTGTTAATAGCATTTATCATATAACTTCTGCACTGTATTTGTAAAATATGTATAAATACTTTGTTATTCTTAAAGGATTCTTTTTCCCTTAATTTCCAAATTGATTACTGCATTTTATGTACTAAACTTTCCAGATACAGTGTTCTCTGCAAGTAATTTTTCTCTCTCCCCTCAAAGATTTGATGCCTCTTTATCCTAGTAATTCATACTGTCTTGATTTATTTTGCCTAATTTTTGGAGTTTATTTTCATAATAATTTTTACTTTGTTCTGAATCTTTGGCTGTGTCTGTCCCTTTTTAATTTTCAATATATTTATGTTTAATCATCATCATGACAGTCAATAGTGAGAATACTTTTTCCTAGGATTTTATAACCTTTGACGTTAGATACCTCCTGTGCAGGTAATCTGCATGCCCCACCCTGCTGCTTAGCTTTTTATTTACTTCTCCAAGAAAATTAAGACTATTTGCTCAGCTTGCTATACTGACATGATTATGAAGTCACAACTTAGCTTTCTTCTAAACTAGTTTAGTTTTTTATTACAAATCCAAGGAACACAATTTTCCAAACTCTGTATCCTCTTGGAGTTTCTGTAGAATTTCTTTTTACCTAAATTCTTAATATGCCTCCTTTAGGGTGATCTTAGTCACAGTCACAAAGCTTACCTTTAAAAATAAGCTAGCCTGCAGTGTTTTGTGTTTTTTGTCTTTTTTTGGTGTCAGGAATCGAACTCAGGACCTTGTACTTGCCAGGCAGGTGCCTGTGCTGAACTATATCCCCACCCCACCCCCGCAATGTATTTTAGTAGTCAAAGTAACTTTATTCTCAGAGGGAATTATACTGAAAATAGAATTTAAACTATTTTCTGTGTGATTGTTTTCTGCAGCAAAGCACTATTAACAGATAGTGTCATAGACAGACTGTTTCAGTAGTCCTAAAAATAAAGATTGTCACATAAGTAGGCCTTTTGGGTCCCCTGTTTGTCCGGAAATGCTGCTGCTTATTTTTTTGCTTTGTTTCAGTTTTCTTAGTATTTTTAAATGAGTTCTGAGACCAGCATAAAGAAATTTCTAGGGAAAAAAGCAAAGCAAGAGTTAGCTGTGTATGATAATGTATATTTCTGTATAGTTATAATCAAATGCTAATATATTTTCCAAGATAAAACTGTGCTAATATTTTAATACCTTATTAAATTGAACTTAAACTTTGTAAGGTTGTGTCTTCAAAAATCTAGCATTTAAACAAATGGTTTTTAAAAACAAAACAAATATAGCATTTAAAGATGGTCTAATTTAGTAATCTTAAAACAATGCGGTAGATAATTTTTAAAGGAAAGCAAAGATTTTGTAAATGTTTAATTCTATTTTTAATATATATTTCTTATAAAAGCTTGTGAATGATTTGCTCTCATTGAGAAAACAAATAGTTTTAAAAAATCATGTGATATTATGGAATATTATCAATTTTTCTCATTTCTTTAAGGTCATGGAAAATGGAAGATTTGCAAAATACAAATATTTTACCCATGTCATGATCAATAAAACAGATATGTTCATGATAACTAGACGGTAACTTGCCTTCTTTCTCTAATGTAATTCCATAAGGGGTTAATAGCCACTTGTGAAGAACTTGTTAGATACTTTTGTACCTTTCTCTTGCTTAGTAGAGCTGGTTCCTAAGATGTTATATAAATTCATGGTTAGCTTTGTTTATGTACAGATAAACAGTCAAACACAAGCATAAATTGTATATTTTAGCATTTGCCTCAAATTCAGTGAGTACAGAAATTCCATAAATTATCCTCTCAATGACAAACTTACCTTTCTGTAAAAAAGCATACAATTTCAGGTTAGACCAGAAGAGTCCACTGATGGCCAGGAGCCAGCTGTTTATTGCTTTAACTCAACTCCTTAAAGTATGTGTTATCTAAAAGAAAACTGGTTACACCTAAAATTGATGTTTCAGCCACAAAAAGAAATTGGGAAAAGCCTTTGAAAGAACTAAATGAAATTATAAATAATATATTGTCATTTCTTAATTTCTACCCCCCTACACACACAATGTGAGATAACACGTGATTAAAAAGCTTAAGTTTTTTGAAGTTTTAAAGTCAAGCACGGTCCTGCTCATCTATAATCCTAGCACTCAGGACACTGAGGCAGGAGGATGCTGTGAGCTGGACTACATAGTGAGATCCTGTTTTTTTGGTTTTTTTTTATTTTTTAAAAAAAGAAAGAAAAAAGTTTCACTCTAAATTGATAGAGCCAAGTGCTATGGAAAAGTATACAACTTTAATCCTACCAGACTGGGAGACCAGAAGAGGAGGATTCCAAATTCAAGCCTAGCCAGGACAATTCAAGTTAATGAGACTTTATCTCGAAAGAAAAAAGGGCTGGGAATGTAATTCAGGGCAGAAGATCTGAGTTCAAGCCTTAGTACCCAATCAAAAAAATGATAGAAATTTATTTTGTCTCAAAGCCCAAGATTTCTCAATGTGTTGATTCCATTCAACATGGTAACAAAAGCCCTTGCAAATGTAGGCTCAGAAACATTCCATGGCGCCTTAATAGTGGGACTCTATTCTAAAGTATTAATTACAAGGATCCCTAAATGTTGACTAAAGGGTCCCATTCTCTTTCTTACAAAGTGTTTGATGTATTTGACTTTGAACACTTGAATTTTTGTAGCATGGCTTACTACAGATTTCCCACTAAACATTACATTGGCTGTATGTCACACATTTTGTAGTTTCATTTTTCTGTTCAAAATATTTTCTACTATTGAAGTTCTTTGATCTGTGCATTATTTTAGTATCTTAGTTTTAACCATTTAGAAATATCTATTGTTTCTAGTTTAGTGCCATTTTGATCTGAGAACATTTATGACTTCTGTACCTTTATAAGTTTTGGGGGCGGGGAGATGGCTTGGTGGTCTAAGATAATGCATGTTTTGCTGGCCCCAGAACCCAGGGCACACAGTGCTTGCCCCAAAACAGGACATGGTGGCACATGTCTGTAATCTCAGCACTGGGGAGGCTGAGACAGGAGGATCACTATGAGTCCAAGCTACATAGTGAGATCCTGTACCAAATAAATTAATTAATTTTTTTAAATTTATGTTTTCTTTTTGGCCCCAGGATAATAGTTTATCTGGGTGAATGTGATGTACATTTGCAGAAAAATTATTCTATGTTATTAGATACAAATTCCTCAATTTTTAAAGTAGATTTTCCCCTCCTCCCTTCAACAGTGGTGTATTATTTGTAACAAAGGGAACATTTGGACAACTTACATGCGAGTGGCAGTATAGTTTTGATGAATTTACCAAAGAACCATTCATTGTTCATGGGAGAAGATTGCGTATCGAAGCAAAGGTATGTTGAATAATTTGTTTTGAACTTGTAACTGATAATCCATTTTGATATAATCCCCTTTTTGGGGGGTTAAATTAAGTTTCTTGGTACATTATAGGTATACATAATGATCATACTCATTATAGAAAATGTACCTGCACATGATATAACTTGATTCTTTTTTTCCTTGTATTCCTCTACTCTTTCCAACCTCTCTTTCATCCTTATTTACAAAAGCTTTGTTTCCATTTTATCCTTTTTTCATTCCTTTTCTTTATATTTTGTAGTGTTTCTGTTTTATAAATAAAATCCATTTTATCTTGGTATGGTTTACCTTTACTCCTGCTCTTACTCAAGCTTAAAGAAGAAAAAAGGTAAGAATACCAGTGCTACTTTCTGTGCTGCTCCACAACAGCAGCACTGCTAGGCCCTTATTTTCTACTCAATAATAGAACCCTACCTTTTCCCACATGAAAAAATAATGCATAGTAGCTAGCATCTTCTCTACTCCAGATGGCTTCTTTGGCTTTTTCCTTCATTTCTTTCTTTTTTGACTTTTCTTTTTAATCCTGGATCAGCAATCAGCCTTCAAAAAAAAAAAAAAAATCTGGAGTACATATTTGCATGATACTTGAATTACAGGAATTGAAAAGTAGTAAAACCACCACCTCTTCTGTGGCCCTCTCAATAGTGCAGAGATGGACACCATCCTCAGCAGTCCCATTTTTCTGTCTGACCCTCCATTGTGTGATATCTGCTACGAGACAGTTCTCTCCAACAAATGCCTCATAGAATACCAAAGGGGAGTGGAGGAAAATCATTAGGATACACCCACCCCCGTTTCTTTATTCCAAAGTACCTTCTCTATGACTAAGCTGTCACAAGTACATACATGCACACATATATGCATGCATATATATATATATGCACACACACACATATGCACACATACACAAATGTATTATTTTTGACCTAGACTCAATCAGGGTTCCATGGCCATATATGAAGAATTGTCTGAGAACTGTTTTGGAGAGGAAATGCAGTGGCATTAAACCTCCTCCCTTTTTCTGTTTAACTCTTTCTGGCCTTAGAAAGTAAAATCTCACAATAGGCTTTCTGACTTAAGTTTGGTGATAGTAGATATGTTAGAATATACCATTTGGTTTTGATTCTTCTTGGCAACCCACTCTTGGTTTATTTAAATGTATAATTTGTGTATATGTGGTTTTTAAAACAATCTGTATGGCACTTTGTTGTAGTTTTACAACTGCATTTTCTTTTTAATTAATTTATATATTATATTTTTAGGAACGGGTGAAGTCTGTATTCCATGCCCGAGAGTTTGGAAAAATAATTAACTTCAAAACCCCAGAGGATGCTAGGGTAAATATAGTAAATCTTTCACTTAAGCCAAGTAAAACCTTTTCACTTCAGAACCATGTAAATGAACTTTAAAAAAAAAAAAAAAAAAAAAGCCGGTAAGTTTTTCTTGAAAGTTGTGTGTTTTGACAGTTTCTAATATATGTAATTAGATCATATCCCCCCAACATTTTTTGACTAAATTCAATACTATATTTTAAATCAAATTGCTCTTCCTTTAAATCCTAACTGTATTTTTAAAGTCAACAAATTGTTCTATTCTAATATTAATTAGCTTTAGCAGAGAAAGAGTGGCCCCCTATTGTTGAGTTCTCTAAAGCTAAAAAAAAAAAAAAAAAAAGGAAAGAAAGAAAAGCTACCACCATAAAATGGAAAACCATTACCCTGCCATGGCAGGAGGAGAGGGAGCAAAACCTGTAGTCAGAAAATACTGGTCTGTTTTGATGACAGTTGTTTTGTTTTGTTTTGTTTTTCTGGCTCAGGCTGCATTGAGGGTGGGTCTGGTAGTCTGTGAAGCTGGGGATCGAACCGCGGTCCCCTGCCCCTGACTGAGTTTGCCCAGGCAGGCACTTTAAACTGAGCTAATCCAGAAGCCCCATGATGACAGAATCTTGAGGAAAGTCACTTAACCTTGGTTCTTCAAAATAGAAGTGATGTGAATTGAAAAGCCCTACACACACTTCATGTATTATTGCAAATTACCAGGTTATGCACTGCCAGGCAAAGAAGATTGATCCCATTCATGATAAAACAAAGATGCTACTCCTAACACTGCATTGTACTTACTATGTTAGGAAATTTACACTAATACCTGACTTCGTGATCCCAGGGCCTCCTGCTCAGACTTAGGGTGGATCACTGTCCCCTCCCATCCCCTTACTGTTCTCAAGGTTGCTGCTAGTTGAATATGGCCACTGACCAGTTTTCTTGTAACATCGACTCAAAGCAGGACTTCCTTCACCCACATCCCAGTTAGCATGTGTTGTACAATTTTGTATGTGGAACTTATGATATAAGGCACCCTTGGCATACTAATGGTAGCAAATGGGAATGGATTATGAAGAAACAGAAGTAAAGCAGCTAGATATGTATGTCACTTGAAACAGGCAGTATGGAGCAGGGTAACAGCATGACTTTTCTAAGGATTTCTTTTATGTTGCTGAAAGACATTACCACCTATAACAGTTTCTCTGTAATAAATTTACCATTTAATTCCTGTCACCTTGACATTATCCCAGAGGGTTTTAATTTTCTTGCAGTGTCAGAGACATGCAGAGAAAGTTACTGGTGTCATTTTTTTTCATCTACTTTTCTTAGGGAACTTATTCCTATTCAGTTCCTCTACCTATTCTACCTATTCACACTAGATTCCTCTGAAGTTGAAGAGGCATTCATCTCTTTGATTGTTACAGTCTGTGTACAGATGTCCCCCCAAAGCCTCATGCAGTCATGGCGTGGCTTCTGGAGTTTGTGATTGATTCTTGATCCAAAGCTGGGATTGCTTGTGTGAGTGCTACACCTTGGCCCTAGGGTGGGTGATCTGCATTACAATGTAAGGCAGGGGAGAGAGGCTAGCTAGCCACCCATTGCCCTTTGCTGCCTGTATGAAGGGCTGTGCTGTGCCATGTGCCACTCTGCCTTGGAGCCAGCAGAGTGTGACCTAAAACCTCCACTAACTGAACTAAATATACTGTTCCTTCCTTAATTTGGGGTATTAGGTATTTTGTCCCAGCAATGAGGAAAAAGTAAGACACTGATAAATCTTTTTAAACGTTTCAATATATTTTTAACTAATAATGTCATAAACATTTTATATACTAATGGAGTACCATATAATGTTTCAATAATATGTGTAAATTAGGTTAAACATATTTTTCTCCTCAGGCATTAATCATTTATGGTGAAAGCTTTCAAAATCCTTTCCTTTTAACTATTCAAAGTGCATAGTATGTCACTATCTGTCCTCACTCTCCTGTGTTAGAACACCAGAACTTCTTGTTCCTAACTGTATCATAGTACATACTAATCAGCTTCTCCATCTCTCTCCCACCCTACTCTCTCAGCCACTGGTACCCTCTCACTGTATTCTCAACTTCTGTGAGATAAACTTTTTAAGATTCTACATATGAGCAAGATCATGTGGCACTAGTTTTTATATGCCTAGCTTGTTACACTTAACATCATAACCTATGGTTTCATCCATGCTATTGTTACAGATAGGATTTCATTCTCTTTATCTATGAATCACATTTCTGACTTGCAAACTTGAGTTATTTCCATTGCTTGGCCACTGTGCACTATGAGACTACCCTGTGGTAGATTTTTTATTTTTTGAGGAATGTCCTTGTTGTTTTCCATAATTGCCATACTAATTTTCATTCCCACCAATAATGTTCAAGGTTTCCCTTTTCTCTACATCTTCACTGGCATGTGTTGCCTTTAGTCTTTTAGGTAATAGCCATAGCTATTCTTATTGGGTTTAGGTTTCATGATTGTTTTGATTAGTAAAGTTTGAACTTTTTTCCTGAACCTGTTGGCTTCTGAGAAGCATCTATTAGATCCACTACTGAGGTTCTTCATTGAATTGATCACATTATTTGCACACCTTGTCCATTAACCCCTTGTCAGATGTGTAGGCTGTACACATTTTTTTTCCATTCACTGGGTTGCCTCTGCACATTGATTGACCTTTGTGCAAAAGCTTTTTGGTTTAATGTCTTTGGGGGTCTTATCCAATAACTTCTTGCCCATTTCACTGTTTTGCAATGTTTCTTCCTATGTTTTCTTGTAAATTTCCTAATTTTAAGTCTAGCATTTAATTACTTAATGCATTTCTACTTTATTTTTGTAACTGGTAAAAACCAAGAGACTACTTTGATTCTTCTGCATGTGGACAGATTTTTCCAGCACCATTTACTGACTGTCCTTTTTCTCATGTATCTTCTTGGCATCATTGTTAAAGAGCAGTAGATGAGTGGGTTGACATCTAGGCTATCTGTCCCACTGGTCTACGTGTCTTTTTATACCAATCCCATTCTGGTGGTTCTGTTTTTCAGTAGCAGGAATCAAGCAGACTTTTGCAGGCACTATGCCACTGAGCTATATCCCTAACCCCCCATTCTGTTTTAATTATTATGTATTTGTAGTTTGCTTGGCAGTCAAGTAGTGTAATAGCTTCTGCATTGTTCATTTTGCTCAAGACTTCTTTGGCTATTTTTATGATTCCATATAAATGTTAGATTTATGTTTTTCATGTTCTGCAAAAAATGTCATTTTGATAAAGGTTGCATTGAATTTAAATGTTGTTAGAATACATGTACATTTTAATAATAATGATGCTTTCAAGCCAGCATATAATTCAGTGGCACAATGTCTGCCTGGCTCATGAGGAGGACAGGGTAGAAGGAGGAGGGGGAGGGAAAGAGGGAGGGACATGGGTTTGGTGTCTTTCATCAAGATCTTAGAAGTTTCATTGTAGAGGACTTACACTTCATTGGTCAAATTTATTTCTAGATATTTTTTGTACCTGCTAAATTTGATATTTCAGATAATTTGTCATTGACATATAGAAATGCTACATTTTACACATTGATTTTTGTATCTTGCAACTTTGTCCCCTTTATATATTAGGTCTGATAGTCTTTTCATAGATTTTTGGAGGTTTTAATAAATAACATCACATCATCTGTGAATAGTGACAGTTTTACTTGTTTTTGAATTTGGATGCCCTTTGGTTTTATTCTCTAGTCCTGTTGCTCTGGTTAGGACTTGCAGAACTATTTTGAATAAAAGTGGTGAAAGTAAGCATCTTTGTATTGTTTTAGATAATAGAGATAAAGGGTTCACCTTTGACTTGACTCCTCACATATTAAAAACTGATCTTTATTATATGGAAATACCTAACTTTGTTTGCTATTTTTGTTAAGGGATGTTGAATTTTATCCAATCCCTTTTATGCACCTACTTTACTGAACATAACTGTGTTGCCCTGCATTCTGGGATCTTGACTATTATATGTCTCGGTGTGTTTTTCATTGGGTTGAGTGTCTTAGTTACTCTTCTCTCGTTGCTGGGACAAATACCCAACACACAAAATGAAGGAAGGAAAGGTTTATTTAGCTCACAGTTACTGGAGGTTTCAGTCCATACTCAGCTGGGTCCAATGCAGAGCAGCACATAGCAGAGGGCAACTTTTTCATGGTGGCGGCAAAGAGCAAGAGAGCAAGGGAGGGGTAGCAGCAGCTCAAGCAGCTAGCTTCTCTTCCCACCTTACATTGTAATGTAAATTACCTGCCCCAGGGTAGGGGAAGTACTCACACCTATGGGTACTTCCCAGTACTTACCCAGCTATGGGTAATCCCAGCAGTACTAAAACCCATAATCCCAGCCTTGGATCACACATAATCCCAGTGGATCATGAGTTAACACAAACTCTAGGAGTCCTCACCCCATGACTGCATGAGGCTTTGGGGGGGACAACTAGACACAAACCATAACATTGAGGTTACTGGGCGTTCTGTGTGCTTCGGTTACCTGAATGTCAGATTGTTTCATCATATTTGAGAAGTTTTCTGCTATTACTTCTGCCCATATTTTTTTAATATCATTTGTATTGACTCCTTTCTCATTGATGCCTGTGAGTCTCAAGTTGTTCATCTTTGCATCATCTTGCAGGTGATGGATTATTCTTTCCTGCATCCTTGTTGTTTCTAAGAGATCCTTTCTTACCTTTTCACTAGCTGCACCAGCATCTTCAAGATCTGAAACTCTGTCTTCACATTCACTTAAACGGTTTTGCAAGCTTGTGATTGAGATTTTAATTTCCTCTGTATCTCTTTGACTCTGCTTCATGGGATCTATTTTTTTCCTGTATTGGTCATTCAAGGAATCTGTCATTTTTCTAATCTCCTCTATTTTTTTTAATCAATGTTTTCTTTAGAAGCAGTTATAAATTCTTTTACTGTAGTGTTTTTTTCAGATTGGGTTTCCTCCCTATGTTTCTG